ATTGCTAAATATGGATACTGGGGCAGACCCCTAGCCAGATCTTTTAAGGATATTTAAGTGCTCATCTCTCATTTAAATCAGTTAAGCGCTCATCTCTCATTTAAAAGGCACCTAGATGCCTTTTAAAAATCTGGCCCGCAGTTCTTAAATATAATCCAGCTAATAACAGCTGCTACTTAGCATGAAATGGTCTGCTTTCATGTTAATCATACATCTGGTCCTTCATTTACATGATTCTTCACCCACACTTCTTCATTCAACCTGCAACACTGGTTCAACTCGCTCACCAAAAGCACTGTTTGCTGGATTTGGTCTTTACCAAAGACAGAGAGTCCAGAGGAGAGCCACATGCATGATCAGAGGGCAAGAGAACAAGTCTTATGAGGAGAGGCTGAGAGGCATGGGACTCTTCAGCCTGGAAAAGCAAAGGCTCAGGGCTGACTTGGTGGCAGCCTATAAGGATATAAGGGGTGTGCATCAGGAACTGGGAGAATGTCTGTTCACCAGGGCACCCCAAGGGAAGACAAGGTCTAACAGTCACAAACTCTGGGAAGACCATTTTAGGCTGGACATAAGAAAAAACGTCTTTACCATCCATGTCCCCAGAGTCTGGAATAGACTCTCTCCAGAAATGGTGCAAGCACCTAGTCTGGACACCTTTAAAACCCACTTGGATACTTATCTTGCTGGGATCATTGACCCCAGCAGACTTCCTGCCCTTGGGCAAGGGGCTGGACCTGATGATCCTTCCAAGGTTCCTTCCAGCCCTAATGTCTATGAAATCTATGAAATTTACCAAACTCATAGCACTCTCTGTCCTTCCTCTCTCTCTCTCTCTTAAGGGCACTCTTCAGCACAAGTCCCACATAAGGTTCAAACTCCCATTTCTAGAGCCACACCAAAACAACTTGAAGTCCTATGGCACTCTGCTATCAAAGAAAAGAATGCCAAAAAAGAATTCTAAAAAAATCCCAATGCTCACTACTATAATCTCCAGACAATGCTGCCTTCTCATAAACAAACCAACCAACTAGTTTGGTTAAAACTGGGTGTTTCTACACAAGACACTACGTCGCTGTAGCGACAAGCTACCTCACTGTAGTTTGTTGCTACAGTGACATAGCATCAGCGGGCACAAGCCGTGACACCAATGCTACTGTGCAGTAGCATCAGAAATTAACCGTTCAGCACTGGGACTGTGCAGTAATGGTGGTTACTGCACAGTCATTTAGTATTTGCTTACTAAATAACAAGCACTAATTGACTGCGCAGTAAGTCCTGCACACCTGTATTCAAAATTGTTTCTATGTAGGATGCAGAGGGTTAAATCAAAAGCTGAATAGCAGCAGAGATTTTTTAATTAACTTTATTCCTGTAATGCTTAGAAAACAATATAAATATTGCAGTCAATGACTGTGGCTTGATTAATCAGGTGTAACTGGAGATAACCATTTGATTTACATTATGGGAAAGACATTTCTATTTTTCTTCAAAAGTTTCCATGGTGTTTTTGCAAAGCTACCATAACTAAAATGGGTTTGAAAGACACAGCTCTTCAAGAATTAAAAAAGACATTACTCCTTTGTCAGTTACAGGCTAGTATCAGTTGACAATTTTTCATTACATTGATTCAGATTTTCTTTTTTTACCTGAGAAGTATAAGAATTCATCAGTTTTCCACTGTCAAACACATCAGGAAGCTTGTACCTCACCATAATTCAAACTCTTTCCTGCCCATCTTAATTGTATGTCTTTCTCTGAGATATAACTAAGTAAGAATGTTTTGTCCTGCAGTGAAATTTCCTCTTAGTAGTTGAATCATCTTTGTATGGCAGGTACTTGTTCATAGCAGGATATGTCCCATGCAGAAACCTTTTGTTATCAGCAGAGGTGCCGAGTATGTGGGGACCCGACGGCCCTGGCTCTGGCCTCCCTTGGGAAGAGGGCTGTCAACTGAAATGTGTAAAACTTTCCACATGTCCATCACCTTAGCCTTCCCCCCCCAACAAAAACAAAAATCAGTGCCTATAGTTATCAATATCTATTTATATCTCAATCAGTATCTATCTTATATCCTCCATCAGAGACATTAAGATGCATTTCTTTGTCAAGAATATTGCCCTGAACATACATAGAGCAAGAAATGCAAGAAGACTTTTCTGCTTTAAGTCTTAGGGATTCAGCACGTCTTGGGATAATAAAGAATGATAAAATCATGTTATGGGGAAGTAAACAAAACCAGAAAGGATTCAACTGTCTGTCTGAAAATATGATAAAAGGATGGTCTGACATTTACACGGATTCTGTCTGTGATCAAGGACCTTTGAATTCAAAAGCTCCTCTGCTGCAACAGACTCCTTTCCAGTGACAGAGTGACATCACCTCCTTTGAGCAAAACAAAACTTCTGCCAGTGCCCGGCATCTGGCAGTGGGCACATGCAGTCACTCCAAAGCCTTCTGCTAATTTGAGTGATGCCTTCTGCAACTGGTACTTTCCCAGGGTGCACTCCATGCTCTGTGTAGCGTTGAAGCCACACAGATCTGCCAGAAGTGCATGATGGTGGATATATCTTGGCAGGTTGGCAGTGGCAGTTGCCGTCTGGTGCTAGATCTTTCATTGGCAGAACCTTCTAAGTATACCCAAGACTTCTAGGTTTCTGTTTACCTTTGACTAATGGCTTCTAGTTGCCCATTTACCAGATTTGTTGATAACAAAAGGTTGATTTGATGTGCATTAGTTTGCATCCTTGAGTTGTTTGCCTACATTGCTCTAGTACAGGGGTGCTCAACCTCCAGCCTACAGGCCAAATGCAGCCTATGGAGTCATTGCATCTGGCCTGTGGGGCTCCCTATGGGTCAGGAGTTTTGGTGGCAGGGGAGCGGTGGCCATTAATACTGTCACCCTCCCCTCTGCTAAATTCCCAAACCCCAAGCGGTAGGTTGGAGCTATGTCACACTCCCTTTCCCCCCACCCCCATGGCTTGATTGGGGCTGGGCCACACCCTCTGCTCCTTAGTAGCTGGATTGAGATCAGGCCACATGCCCTCCACCGCTGCAGGTCCAGGCTGGGGCTGGGCCAAGTCCCCTGTGTGGCTGGATTGGGGCAGGGTTGCCCCCTACCCGCTTTGCATGGCTGGATGGTGCCTGCTGCATCCACCCCAGGCACTGGCTCAGGTCCACTGGTCAGATCCGGCCTGCAGATGGACAGGGCACTGCCTATTCAGTTCGCCAGCCGAACAGGTTGAGCACTACTACTCTACTATATAATAGACATGGGAACTTGTATGCACAAGGATCCAAGGAACTTGTATGCACAAAGTTTGGGTCTTCAGCTAACTATTGGCAGCATTCTGGACTGTTTCCCCTTTTGTTTTTTTTAAAAAGTATTCTGGTCTCTCCATTATTTATTGCACATCTTCAGGTTTACAGGGCATTTTTCTGTTGCCCCCTTGTGTGATGCTATTCCTATAATGGGAACACTTACATGCCCAAAGCAGATAAGAAATTCACTCCTACACTTTAGTTGGTAATCTCAGGTGTTACCATTTCATCTGCAACATCACATTCTCTCAGCGCAAGAAGATACTATGATTTTTTACCATGAGACACAGTAAAAGTTCAGAGAAGATCTCAATCATCATTGGAACGATGGAATTGCTTTGCAATAACTAAAAAAATATATTCTTCAGTATTTATTGAAGAAAAATAAAATGGAAAGAGAAGGTACACA